ATAACTGAATGGCAGTCAGAATTGAATAGTGGACACTCACAGCATTTTTTTTTTCATTTAGAGCCTTGCATACTAAATATCTACATACTACTTCATACAGTTCTATAGTTAACTAATTTTATTTTATGTATTCTGTTTAATTCTACACACAGTGGCCCCAAAAATGTATTCGGCCATTTCACCATATGAATTTCTAGATAATAAATTATCAGTGCTTGTTTTAACATATCAGTAAATTAACCCCAAAATCACCAAAAATCAATTATATTATTGCAACCATTCAGTATCCTGTCATATATCAAAGTTACCATGGAATTACTATCTGATACAATCATTATACCATGATACCACTATGGTACATTTTTAAGGGCCTGCACAGTATTTTCCTCTATATTGTGTATCTAGTATTATATGATTATCTTCGGAGTAAGTCTTAGAGTCCTTGCAAGGGCAAACTTACCTGTCCAATACATTTCTGATTCTTTCCTCGGATAAACTTACCACTCAGGCAGAGTATGGCTGTATGATTTTGTGTACCGCTGAGAATACTAAAAGTATTTTAGTGTTCGCATGAGGTTTTGGTATTTGATTCTGGATTCAGAAGCCTTGTGTTCCACAGGTGACGACAACATTAGCTTAAAAGCTAGCATGGTGTGTGAGAATGAGTTTAAACAATGATTGGCCCGTCCTCCACAAAAGCAATCTCTGAGTGGCAGTTAGACGACATCGCATGGCTCCTCCGAGACTTGTCTCATTGAGTGTTCCGGAATCCGCATCTGAAAATGAAGCCCTCATAATTCTCCTCGTTCTATCGTTGTTTCTGTGGAGACAGCCTGACAAAAACGTCAACTCCCAATATCTTCTTCATAAAACTCCGCACCTCTAATAGAGGGATGTAAATCAATTACATCAGAATTTATTTAAAAGAGTCGGGCTAGATGGAAGCCCTGGCGCCGATTTGATCACAGAAGGCAAGCATACACTGGCATTGACTCGCAGTTGATTCTAGATTTTGAAAGATTGTGCTTTAGGCCAGTGTTGCTTGTTTTTGAACAATATGACATTATTTTGGTGTGTGTGTGCGTTAGCCCAACCTCATGCATTCTCTTGATCGTGTGTGTGTGTGTGTGTGTGTGTGTGTGTGTACACAAAGGCTCTATGCGCATTTTGGGCTGAATTGATGCTGATTGATCTGGACAGGGTCTGGAGGATAGATGATTGTGTGTGTATGTGTGTGTGTTGACATCTGTGCTTATTGTGGTGTGTTTGTAATCTGGCTACTGTATGAGTTGTTGTTTTTCCAGTGGTGGCTGGTTGTTCTCTGTATCTCTTTGTAACTCTCTCTCTCTCTCTCTCTCTCTCTCTCTCTCTCTCTCTCTCTCTCTCTCTCTCTCTCTCTCTCTCTCTCTCTCTCTCTCTCTCTCTCTCTCTCTCTCTCTCTCTCTCTCTCTCTGTAACTCTCTCTCTCTCTCTCTCTCTCTCTCTCTCTCTCTCTCTGATCCCCCCTCCTGCTCCTAAAACAGGGCAAGAGATGGAATTTTCTCCATTTCAGTACCGAAAGCAGGGGCAGAGGGTGTCAAACTCATTTTTGTTTTTAGCTTGCCCCATATATCACAGAAATAAAACAATCAAAATGTGTGTGTGAGACTTAGCTCTGCCATACTTGACAGTGTGTGCACTTCACTGGACATGTTCCCTTTCTTGTTAGTGGCTTCATCTCTGTATGTGTGTGTGTTTCTAAGTCATTCGGTCAGGATGAAATTGCTGGAAAATGTCCCTTGCAGTTAGCAAAATTTGACCGAAATACATTTGGGGATCCTCGAAAGGAAAATTGCTTAAGTGTAAAAATAATAATAAAAATATATTTTAGATGTAGGGAAAACCATTGTCAGTGTTGCCTAATTTAGTGCATTGAACTCTATGAGGCAAAGCATCAAACTATAGCTATGCATGGATGTTAACAGGTTTAACAAACCCTGTTTGTCATCAACCTGTCGAAACATAGTTGGGGATTACAAACTAAATTCTATGACATATTACTAGAAAATGAGAAGAGACTGATTTTATCATTATATTGAATGAGACAGTGTTGAAGGCCTACAGTGCCATTCTTAGAATCATTATACACATTAGATATCACATACAAAATGAAAAGTTAAGTAGTAAAATCACCCTTCAAATGCTAACGTTAGGGTTTGGGTTTGGCTAAATCTATGGCATATCCAATTTATATATCTTGATTTACATGGGTGCACATCTGAAAACAGTCCCACACAAAAAGATAAGTCACCTGTGAAGTGTCTCTTAAAGCATTTTTCCACCATCTGGCCAAATGGTCCTGAGCACAGTAACATTTACAGTAGCTTCATTACAAACCACTTTATGGATCTATTTCTCAACCATACTCAGGACAGGCAAACCATGCTGATGCTAGTGACTCATGATTGGTCATGTGCATTCTAATTCTGATTTATCAGCACCACAATGGAAAAAGAAAGCATAACCATGTCATTGAGCCCAGATCAGTAAAGAACAATGAAAAGAGCAGTAACCAGTCAGCCCGATGGTAAGGCCCGTCCTAAAGGAAAAGATTTTAAAACCCATTACAGCTTCTTAAGCTTGATTAATTGGTTGCTCAATGTAAGAGGCTTGGTTTGCCATACCAAGAACTTTAGGTTAGGTTATGTTTGTCCAACTTCTACATATTACCTTTTTCCATTCACCCTCTAAACTGTCCATATTCTCTTTCCTAAAAGGTATCTCCAGCCTGTTTCCTGGCAACCCCTTGTGTGCCACAGAGCCCTGACAACTTTCCCTAAAATGGCCCTGTTGGGTTGGAACATGGTGGGTGCTTCTCTTTGTTTGAATGTTGAGTCACATTCAGACAAGGTGCCGTTGCCCAATTGTTTGGTTGTTTAAACCATTCATGCTCCATTGTTGAAGACATCTGGAGGAGAGAAAAGATGGCCTGGGGTGCAATGATGTGTAGGCGCAGGTGTTTGTGGAGTGACGTAGGAGCTGGTACTGGCCAAAGGTCAAAAACAAATGCTTTCTCTTCTTGAAACAAGTGACCATGTGAGTAAACCACTAGAGTTGGTATAGGAAGGTAGACAGGTTTGGAAGAGATCTCTGAAACATGGAAACGAAGAAAGCAAGACTCTAGAAGAGGTCGACTCAGCTGCTGATGTACTGACTCCTCAGAGCGGCCAAAGGAGCATCCCGGGTCTCTCCAACAGAGTTACTTTCAGGAAGTAAACTTTGGAGTGTTGGAGAGAGGGAGACAGCTCCATTGATGGATGGAAAGGGACAAAAGGAGGAGGGCAGTGATTGAGAGAAAGAGAAAGAAAGCATGAGTGACATATCGGGAGGATGGCGACTAAGCCCAGCATGCCGCATTGCATAATTACATTTTCTGTTCAAAGAGTATCGACAATCAATAATGTAATTCATAAAGAAGCTATAGCATACCCTCTCATTGGCATTCACTGCCATGCCCGAGCCGCTATCCTGAAGAATTAGAGCAGCGAGGAGCAGAAGGCAGTTTGTCATTGAAACAAAAAGTCACTCATTGTTCATATCAGAATATACTGTACTTACCCAGCATGCTTGGAGAGAGAGAGAGGGTCCTTGTAAATTGCATTATGTTTTGAGTGATGGCTTTTAGGCAGTGTGTCCTTGTTACCATAGTGTGGTCAGCACATCGGCAGGCTTGTGGAAAAAATTTTGCCCATTTCTCGTTAACATCTTGCCATGGTTTTAGTCCTTTCTTAGTCCTTTTAGTGCTTTCTTCAGCTATTCTCTTCCTTCCTTTCTAGTGACTCTTTTTTTTGGGGTCAGTCTAGATCTAAAATGGCAGTCACCCCCAAGTCCTGCCACAGTGTGTTTGTGAGTTTGGACGTGGACGACAGCTGTGAGGCTGATCTCACGTCGTCTCTTCACCTTCCAGAGCATCCTCGACATCCCGCAGCCAGGAGCCGAGGGGTCAAGATCGCCTCTGATAAACTCACACAGAGGCCACAGGGTGCTGGGATGTGTGCCATCCTTCCTAACCCCTCCAGCCCGTGCTGCAAGTCGGAACACATTCTCATTCAACCCATACATATATTTCTGGCATCCTTGGTGACCGATAGGTTTGGATTTTTAAGCTAATCTCAGGTCCCCAATCCTCTGCTGTTGTATTCTCACAGCTAATATGAACCTTAGAGCCCTGAGCAAGTAGGGCAAAGGGGTCTAGAACTCCTGTTGGGTTCAGTCTAGATTAGTTCGGCCTACCGGTGGGACACAGCTGGTCTTGGTGTCTCTGACGGACCGGTGGAACAGCTCACCATCTTCGGCTGCCAGCGCCCTGTCCGCAGCCTCTTTGATTCGGCACTTAGTGCTTTTGCCTTCCTCTCACCGGCCAATCAGGTCTTGTTTATTTATTTAGCCCCTCATACATAGTAGCAGGGGGAAACTGATCCCAGAGCAGACAGACTGTAAATATCGCTGTGTGGGGGGCTGTTTTTCTCTCTAATGGAGTGGGTTTCTTTGAGCCAGATTGGTTTATACAGGATTTAATGACTTGGTTCAGCCAGAGATCGCAGGCTGGTGTGTTACTGTATTCGTGTGAGCGTGAGTGTATGAGATTGTATCTCATGATTTGTTTTTGTGCCTCGAGTTGTAAATGGCTGATCCCAATACAGATAACTAGAGAGTGGGGTGTAGGGTAGTACAATTGAGATAATTGAGATAAAGATATATACTGAAATAAAACATTTTTAGACAATATTTACTCAGTTTAATTAAAAATGTTTAGAGATATAAGAACAGAACTTCTCTTGGCAGAATTTGGAAATGTAATAAAGTTAAGACTTCTATTAATCAGCCAAGTGGGGATGGCTGTTTTAGGAAACAGGACATGAAAATATGAGCTGAAGATTTAGGAATGGGATCACATGACCGTCCACATGTCCATCACCGCACATAATCTAAAACGATGTCTCATTATTTTTCTGTTTCAGCATTGGCTGAGGGGAACAAAGCAGAGCATCATGACCGGCCAATCGGTGACAGGCACCGCAGAGCGGCCGAAGAGTCCTACTGGGCTTACTCAGGTGAGCAAACTACACTCACACATACTGTACATAGCGACCCTTCCGAAAGAGTAACATTTAAATTTCTTTCTTTCAAAAGCCATTGTGTTCTGCTACCACTAAAACACATGAACTGCCTCTGATAGACAGCTGGTCTTTCATCCAGAGCTGTCCACCTCACCCCCAAAGGCCTCGCCTTAGGGTCTCCGATGGGTTTTGCTTTCATGAATGCTTTGCTGTTGAGCAAGTGACTCATGTTGTCCCTCTGAGCAATATTTGCAGAAGAATAGCATTAATCTTTAACTGTGCCACCAAGCCTGCGGCAACCAATGATATTTATTTTATTTATTTAAATGCTTCCCCTTGTCCCTGCTGCAGTTTTCTGTTGTTTGCCAGTGTGATGGCTAGCCCCTTGCACAGATGTGGCCTACAACAAACACTCAGTTGCCTGCATTACTGTGATCTTGTGGTCTTTATGGTACTTTATCCACTATTTAACGTCCCACTACCATGTTAAAGCATCTTTCAGAGGAGCATTTATTTGTGGATAGTTAACGCATTCAATGCCAGAGTAGTGTCAGTAGTAAAACTTTTTTTATATGAGGCATTATGTGTAGAACTGAAGTATGCTTATATGCTCTATTCAATTCACTGCTGAAAAGGGCTTGCTAAGATTGTAGCGTTAAAAGTCACAACCTGTGTGTGTGTGTGTGTGTGTGTGTGTGTGTGTGTGCGTGTGGTTGTGTGTGTGTGTATGTGTGTGTGTGTGTGCATATATTAGCACATCAAAGATGCCTTCAGTCAAAGGATCTTGATGGTTTAGTGTTTTTATGCATCTATTTTCAAGTGATAATTACACACACTAATATTTGAATACTTCCTGCAGGCTGACATTTGTCATCATTCTCTAGTGCACACGTTTGGATGTCTATGTTGGCATTGTCTGCCAGTGACAGAGAAGCAAATTTGAAATTAGCTGGATAAGCTAATGTAAAATAGGTAAACTACAATCAAGTCAGTTACATAAAAGCTAGCTGCTAAAAAGTAGTAATTAACACAAGAAAGCATTTAAAAAGATGAACTGTCTTGGCACAAAACAGTGAGAATCTTGTTCTGTAAAGCTAGTTTTTTGGAAAAATTTGGCTGTTTAAGGAGAAGCTATTAACTTTTAGATAATTATCACATCTAATTAAAAAAAATAAAAACTGTGACCCATAAACAATGAGGATGTTGTGCTATATACTTCTAGGTGTTGGAAGAATTAGCTCGTTGCTGAAAAAGCTACACTAAGCTATGGTCGACAAGGTTTTTTTTTAAAGGGGTCATATGATGTTGCTAAAAAGAACATTATTTTGTGTATTTGGTCTAATGAAATGTGTTTATGCGGTTTAAGGTTCAAAAAACACATTATTTTCCATGTAGTCTACTCTCCCAGGATCAGGAAACGGTCCTCCATGAAATGTGTTGCACACATCTGAATATTTGGGTTGAAGTGTTCTGGAACAGTGTTGTAAATACAACTTAACCACTGATTTCTAGTCGTGTCCTCTTTCGGAAGGCCAAACAAAGTAGTTTCGCTTTCACAACAAAACACACAGCGTCACACACGGCGGCCGGCGGGCTTGAGAATGGCGCGGTCGGCGGATTCGACGAAGGAGCGGCCGGCGGGCTAGCGGCAACCTCATGTGATGACCTGGACTGGACTCCGCTTCGTCCACGGTGAAAGCCGATCCGGCGATCCACAGCGCAAAGTTGATGTATTTCTTCAGCGACCAGCACGGATCAGCTCCAGGCATGACGAAGTGGATATTGTCCTCTTTTGGAAGGCCAAACAAAGTAGTTTCGCTTTCACAACGAAACACACAGTGTCTTCACGACATGGCAGCAGCAACAATACTACAGCGAGAATAAAAGTTACGCCTTCTTTCTTTGCGTGAACATTTGGGCGGCGTTATGCAAATCTTCCCACATCGTGACGTAGACATGTGGGGGCGTGTTAGAATGAGCCGTTTTAGGTAGGCGTGGTTGACTCTTAACTTTTATAAAGAATATCTCTTTGGATTTGAGACTTTAGTCTTTGCAACTTTACAGATCTTCTTTATGCACCAAGAGCTTGTAACACTTCAAAGAGAAAGGACAAATATCATTTTTTGAATCGCATCATATGACCCCTTTAATAGTAATTCAATTTTAGTTAAAGGTGAAATTGAGTATCGAGTGGGACTACAGTATGTGTTTGCCTGACCAAACATTGGCTTGTGTCATGCAGCCCAGCATATCAGTCGATGAGATACTTTATTATGATATTCCCTTCTTGCGTAGTACAGAACTGTAGGCTTATGTTAAAAGCGTTGCATTATTCACATCAACCCTTGCCATCCAGAGACAGGAGATGCTTCGTGCTCTTCAGTCAGGGGTTTGATGGGGTGGGTCACTGGGGCATCTGTGCCTGTTCCCACAGTTGCTGTGTAGTTTGCCCGCTGTGTAGCGAACATCTCTGACATCAACCTGTGCAGAGGAAGGGAGAAAGAGCCTCCTATTTTTAGTCAGTCATGGATGGTAATGCAGCCAAGTCTGTCAAAAGTAGAGGCAATTAGTACAAGCTAATTAGCAAGTAAGTTTTAATCAGTAACCTGGTGAAAAGAAGAGAACATGTAGCCACATAATGAGGAAACTAGATAATTCATAAATACACAAAAATTAATAATTACCCTACAGAAACCGGCAACCCCCTACAGTTGCATTTGAGTCAATGACACGTCACTCTTTTTTCTTTCTTTCTTTATATATATATATATATTATAATTTTATAATTTTAGATTTTATAATATATTTATAATCCTCGGGTACTGGATTAGTCAGCACTCTGGATACTATACACACCAGTATATCTCTATTTTTATTTTTCGTATCGACTTTTCATATTGGCATTTTTGATATCCCTAGTTCAGACGATCTTACAAATCCCTGTTTTGCTAATGGCAATGTTTTGTTTTTTTATAAACACAAATCAATAAAACTCTACACACTGATTCAGAGTCAATGTGTGTTCCTGAGTCAAATCCGCCTTCAGGTTTCTTATGCACACCAAGGGTCCTAGAGTATGTTAAGCCTCTAAAACTGTGATTGCATGGCAAGATATCATAAAGCACATGCTTACACACAACCGTGCGTTTTTATATCTCCACATGTGTTTTCTGGTGGTAATGTTTTCATGTGTTCATGAATGCAGTGGTGTAATGTAACAAAGTAGTAATACGTAGTAATAAGTAGTCTTTTTGTGAGAATCTGTACTTAACTTGAGTTTTAATATTTCTGTCAACTTTCACTTTTACTCGACTATATTTCCTAATTAAAATGTAGGCCTATACTTTTACTCCGGTACATTTCCCCAAAGCATATTCATTACTTACTACAAAATAAAGTTGGAAGAACACAGATTGCAAGAAAGCAGGTTTGACGGATCAGTGGTCTGGTGCTTGCAAGACTCCTAAAAAACAACTTAGCGCATGTGCAAACAGTGTTGCCAACTAATTTTCAGGGGAAGTTGCTAAAGGAAGGTTGATTTGTTGCTAAAAGTTGCTAAATGATGTGATGTCATTGAGGGATGACGTCATTACGTAATCACGACGCACAATTGTCAAATCTCAGCAAAAACATATATATTTTTATATGTTCATTTAGATTTGTTCATAATAATATAAATGCATAATATAATATTAAAATATAAATAAAATGTTTAAATACACTGACTTATCGAAAGCTTACACATTTTTTAACGATTACAATTTGATTTTTTTTTATTATTATTATTAGCTAGTAAACAAGTAAAACTACACATTCTGAACAATTACACTTTTAAGCAGTGTATTGGTAGTTAGTTAGTAAGCTACACTCTAAGAAAAGTCTGTAAAAAAAATAGTGCACTAGTATACTATGTTAATATGAAGGAATTTTCTGTATTGATTTTTCCACAGGTTCTTTTTTTACCTGCATTTTTAATTACGCATTTTCGGGATTACAACATTACAACGGATAACGGATAATGTCCTGGAAAATTACTAGTACCTTTTCCATTTTTCTACATATTTTTCTTACAGTGTACTAACAGTTAGTACACTGTAAGAAAAATATGTAGAAAAATGGAAAAGGTGGCGAAAAAATTGAAAAACAACCTGCGATTGTTGATGAGTTAGTAACTAACTCATCAACAATCGCAGGTACAAGCTACTAACAAAGTGTCTCATAAATGAACAATAACAGTATTAAATTATTAAATTATTATTATTATTATTACTATTAAATGAAACAATTGCAAATAGCAGCTAACTTAATTCCTGTGATGTGTGTACTGCTAAGCATCTTTGGTTTCCTCTTTTTGTGTAATTTAAATGGTAAATTGTGCCTTTTTATCGTTTGAGTCACTTATCAAAAGTTGCTAAAAGTTGCCAAATTTATTTTTAAAATAGCTAAATATGTTGCTAGGTGCTTTTGGAAGAAAAAGTTGGTAGGGTAGTCTGAAAAGTTGCTAAATTTAGCAACAAAATTGCTAAGTTGGCAACACTGTGTGCAAACAAGTTCTCGCACAACCGAGGTGGATTTCATTTTCCACTCAAGTCAAGGCTGGGGTGTGCGGTATACATCATCTGCGCTAATATAGTAAATGTTGTTTTAACGATGTGCGATCTGACATTATCGAGTAGGCTATATCACAAAAACCAAACAAAAACACACCCAGAGAGTGCACGCATACACTGTGTGATTTAGTCTATTAAAACGCATTTAGAATGCCCATAAGATTCAAGCTAAGACGCAAAATGCCTCTGTGTGTCTTTTTTATTTATATCATTTAATATAGTTAATCTATTTCACACTAAGAGTGCCATTTTTCTCCAGATATCAGCATGATAACAAATGTAATATTGATTTTAAATAAGTTTAATAAAGTTAGTATTAAGTTACTTACATTTTAGATGCCTGTTTTTACTGTATTTCGCCAATGAAAATAGTTCCAAACAACG